TAATCATTGTCATTACCTATATGCTTTCTGTTCAGTCTGTTACTGATGTTCTCATGTACACTCTCGTCCTCTATAGTTATTTGCGTATTTCCCACTCTGTCATTTCTGTTATAGGCATTTCTGCCATTTGGCTGGTACTGCTTTATGCATAATTGGTGAGGATGAGATAAATGCACGAAGGGTGTTGTCGTGCCATTGAATTTGATGTCTTGGGTATACTTTTCACATTATGAAAGTTTTGACGTGATTATTGTGATTTATTGTCTTTCTCTCTCAGGAAAGGGTTGGGTGAGATTTTGATACCTGTTGAATTGTGTTTTCCTTTAGTACTCCGTTATTGCTTTGTATAATCGTTTTGTGTGCTCTACTCTGTTGTATTGTAGTATAATTTTATTGTTAGTTACATTACAGGTTTTATCAATGAGCATCTTTTAACTAAAGCCTCTTCACTACTCCGACGAGGTTAGACAAGATACTTACTCAGTACATGGGATCGGTTGTACTGATACTACGCTTCTCCACATTGCGTGCAGATATTGGTTGTTGTTGTTGTTGTGTTCTATGGTTGCCGGGATTGAAGATGTATCTGCGTTCCTGTTGTAGCTGCCCCTTGTTCATGGTAGCTCTAGGTTTATAAAAATTCTGTTTATGTACTTTTCAAACAGAAGATGTATTTACTTCATATCAGCTTGTAAATTCTATTCTTAGAAGCTCATGATTTGTACTACCAGTCCTTGGGGATGTATAAGACTTTGATAACTCCTTTGTTAAATTGTGTTATTAAATTAATTGAAAATAGAAAATCGTTAATTGGCTTACCTAGCGGGATGGGTTAGGTGCCATCACGACTAGTGAATTTCGGGTCGTGACATTATTCTACAAGTGAACCAAGACTTTAGTGAAGATGAGGAAAGGAAGAATACACATTAGCTAGGCAAACAGTGGACTCTTCTTTATTAAATGAAATAACTTACGTTCTTAAAGACTTTGCCAAATATCACATCTCTAAGCTTGCCACATAACATAATGACTTAAAGAGTCACTATTCCCATAAGGTAAGGCTGTCACGTTAATATTTATCCCAAAGATTTTAATTTCCTAGTTAATCTTACCACCAAAATCATTAAGTAACCCTAATTATTCACATAATTAAGAATTATCTCAACTTACTTAAAATACTACTCACTTTTAACATACTTTATATAACTTACTATCATGGTCATGTGGTACCATATAAAATAAATACATATACTATTATTTAAAACATCCATGTAAAAATATATATATTTTCTCAACTTCTAATTTTTCTAATCTCATATAAAGAGTACAAATTTTCGTACGCTTAATTCTTAAAATGGTAAAAAGATAACCTTCTTTTCTTGTGAGAAAATAATTTCTATCTTTACAATAAAGAATATCTCATAAACTTCCTCATATTATATATGTGTAAAATTTAAAGCATATTCGAAAGTAGTAATATTAATAACTATATAAAATCATATTTTTCAAACTTTTTACAAAAATATTCCACTCAAAATATCATATCAAATGTATATGACGGTATCAAGGTTGTTAAAATTATGGGGTCTTACAATAACATAGCCACAAATCTTCAAAAATAAGAAGTTTAACTAACATGTATCCATTCAGCACGTGTAACATCAAATTGGAACTAAGGTTATTAATTTGAGCATCCAATATAAAATAATGACAATCTTAATCGAACCACTCAAAGTGGTCATCGTTAAAATATACTCTCAACAGACCATAAAAGGATAACATCAATTGCAAATTGATTTTCGATTCCCAATTTATCTACCATTTATAGAAAACTAATTTGCAGCATTCAGTTTCTAATTTAAATGCATTAGAATTTTTATTTTAAAATAAAAAGGGTTGGTAGAAACATGTAAACTTTTCCCTCCTAAACAGATATCCTAATATTAAAGTTCGGGGTGTAACACCCGAGACCTCAACCAAACATACCAACAAGTCCTAAAATATGATACGAACATAGTCGAGCCTTCAAATCACATCCAACAACACTAAAAACACGAATCATACCCCAATTCAAGCCTAATGAACTTTGAAATTTCAAGTTTCCACAAACAACGTCGAAACCTATAATCACGTCCGATTGACCTCAAATTTTGCACACAAGTCATAAATGATATAACAGACCTATTAAAATTTTCCGAATCGGATTTCGACCCGATATCAAAAAGTCAACTCCCCGGTCAAACTTTTCAAAAATTCACCTTTCGCCATTTCAAACCTAATTCCACTACGGACCTCCAAATAATTTTTCGGACACACTCCAAAGTCCAAAATCACCGTAGTGAGCTATTGGAATCATCTAAATTCAATTCCGAGGTCGTTTACATATAGGTGAATATCCGGTCAACTTTTCTAACTTAAGTTTTTAATTATGAGACTAAGTGTCTCATTTCACTCCGAAATCTTTCCAGACCCAAACCAACTAACCCGATAAGTCATAAATAAATTGTGAGGCATAAATTGAGCAGTAAATGGGGGAAAGGGGGTTGAAATTCTCAAAACGACCGGCTGGGTCGTTACATTCTCCCTCACTTAAACATACGTTCGTCCTCGAACGTGCCAAGAGTTGTTTCCAAGCCATCAAATCACTATCCATCTTACCACGCACGTACCCGGGGGTGAACACACGTCACCCTATTCCATATAGGCTTGACAACACAATACAACAAAAATCATTAATTTAATCTTGGCCTAAAAACCTTGGGATTCAATTCCCAACCCTCAGAATTTCTTTTCAAGACCTGAATCTCACAGTTACACATTGTATAAGTCTGAACAAGCTGCATCGAGCCATGACCATAACCCCAGATATAATTACATAACATACTACACAACTCGCATGCTCGCAACACTATTTTCAATCACAGTAACTACTCAAAACCAACCAAGTACTAGTATAAAACCTCACATTCAACAGCACCTCATTCCGAAACCTTCGTACACTGCCAATGATGAAAGAAACAATCAAAAACTCATAACTACTCATCAGATCAACTAGCCATGGAGCTCTCTCGCCCCAACTAGAACCATAATCCTCTCCTAAGCCAACTTTTAATATTATCCTCCCGNATATATATATATATATATATATGTATGTATTATAATCAATGTATACTGTATAAAAACTCAAAATGTATATTTATATTAGGTTGGGTCATTCCTATTTTAATTTGGTAATTATTTGTTAGACTGAAAAATAAAAGAATACTATCGAAAAGTTATAGTTTTCGGTCATTATGTTTTTTTATGTGAGTTACTAGCAATTTTTATGAATTTTACGTGAGAAAACATAGTTGTATGACTTTGATAAAAAATCATAATTATATGACCATTTGTTAAATTTATCTTTCACTATCACGAACCTGCCCTCTTTCCAAAGAGATATATTTAAAAGCATTTCTTTGCATGGCGAAAATCCTTTATGTAAAAAAAAAAAAAAAGAACTATCAATCGCTAAAATGCAAGTGTGGTGTTTGGTGTCATTTTCTTTCAAGAAATGCCATAAATAGAGGAGTCGAGTATGAAAATAACATATATTATATTAGTTGAACTCTGTGGTGAGCATCAACGTGTGCAAAACATGGTTGCATCATTAATTTGAAAAATGCATAATCTTCACTATACAAAATAGATTGTCATTATATAAAAAATATACTAAATAGACTGTCACTATACAATTTATATATAATAGACTGTCACTATACAAAATATATTGTCACTATACAAAACATACAAAATAGACTGTCACCGTACAATTTATATACAATAGTCTGCCACTATTCAAAATATATATAAAATAGACTGTCACTATACAAAAAATATACTAAATTAACTGTCATTATACAAAAAATATACTAAATAGACTGTTTACAAAATAGGTTGTCACTATACAAAAAATATACTAAATAGACTTTCACTATACAATTGATATACAATAGACTGTCACTATACAAAATATATACAAAATAGACTGTCACTGTACAATTTATATACAATAGACTGTCACTATACAAAAAAATATACAAAATAGACTGTCACTATACAAAATAGACTATCACTATACAAGTAATATACAAAATTGACTGTCACTATACAAAATAGATATTTCGGATTATTAGATGTAATATGTTGGGGCCGGAAGGACATTTCGGATCAATGGGGGAAAATATGGGCTATTAAAATTTTGAGGGGCTATAGAGGGTCATTTTCTCTAGTAAATTAGACACGCTATTTGTGTAAAGATCCCAATTGATTTTGGGCTTTTGGAAAAAGCAAGAGAAGGTCCATTATAGTTGGCGGCAAAAAAAGGGTAATCTACGCGATATGCCCATTGAAAATACCAGTTAACACCATATACAATTAAAAAATTTATTTTACCTTGTATACCTACTTTATAAATTTATTTTACCCTATATACCTACTTTATAATTTTATTTTATCGTATATACCTACTGTATTCCAAAATAGAATATTGTGGTATGTTTAGTTTGGATATTGTATTCCAAATTAAAATATTGTAGCATGTTTACTTTGAATATTGTATTCCAAATTAGAAAATTATCGTATGTTTGATTTGGATATTGTATTACAAATTAGAATGATGTAGTATGTTTGGTTTGAATATTATATTTTAAATTAAAATATTAAAGTATATTCTATTCGGATATTGTATTCCAAATTAGAATATTGTGGTATGTTTGGTTTGAATATTGTAGTTGTTACAGGTATATTCCGTTTGGATATTGTATTCCAAATTAGAATAATGTGGTAAATTAGATTTGGATTGTATTCTAAAATAGAATATTATGATACGTTTTAGAATATAAGGAGGTATAACATGTAATATTTTTGGGATATTTGACGTAATTTCTAAACTTAGGTATATCAAGTGAGTTTTATAAAAAGGTATATGAGTTAACTTCCCCGAAAAAATACCTCTTCAATTGGGCGGTAAACCACTAAACCCTTCATTTCATATAATTGCCACAACAGAGCTAAAACCCTTGGCCGTTTCTGCTTCTGTTCGTCAGCTTCTCCGGAGCTCTTCAGCCGTCGTGCTTCGCGGCACATTCAATGGTGAAACGTCATCGCGAAGAAACCGATTCCAATGGAGCGCCGGCAGTTGAACCTGCGACGTCGTCCAGCACGGTTTTCATAGATACCAACTTTGATACTCACTTGGCTTTAATTGTCTCCGACTCTGATTCTGTCTTCGATCTCAAAAGTAATTTTCCCCTTTTCTCAATTATATATAGTACGTATTTTTTAATTTTTTACTGGTTGCTGTTTTATACATTTTCATCCCTGGATGCTCTGTTAGTAAAATTACTTTAACTCATTATTATTAAAAAAAATGTCGAGACATTGGGTGCATTTGCACTCACTGCTTGTATGTTGGGTATGTCAAAAAGGTAAAAATTGTTGGTTAATTTTGTATTAGTTTAAGTTCTATGCACTGAATGTGTAAAAATATTAACACAATTGGTCACTTATTAGGTAATCACAAGTTAATCTCTTGATAATATTAATTGTTAATCTTGTAAGAATGGTAACTGACCTGTTATCACATGTTAAATTTGGTGTTAATTTTTTTAAAAAATTGTCGGTGTATGCAACTTAAATCCATTTTGTATCCCGAGTATAAATTTCGCATTGTTGGTACTAATTTGCTTATAAGTGATTTTAGATTCTCAATCACCGAATGATTAAGTTACAAAAGAGTTGAGTTGCCTGATGCGACGTGTTTGTGTTAAGCAGAAAAGGTTGTGTTTGAACATTTAAGGTGCTTTCCTGAGATGAAAGAATTGAAGATTTCTTCAGTGAAGGTCTGTTGCTAATCCTCCAACTCACTGTTTTTTTTGTCTATCTTTATATATCTATATATTCTTGTAAAACCATGACGATCGACGCCTTTTGTTATTCCTAAAAAGGTGAAACGGAGAGGACATTACTATCACCTGTCCGATACTATGCTTGTCAGAAGTGTTTTTGAGGGTATAAAAAATGGCTGGTTCCTTTCGGTTGATGCTTCTAGCTGTGACCAAGGGTTACTTTGCATCACATATGCGCAAACTGAGGCTGACAGTCATTCGTTCAATGAAATGGCTAAAGAGAAGGGTTTTGATACTAATGAACCTCACATAGCTCATGGAAACTTGACATCAGCCTCCATCGTGAAACAGAAGAACGTTGCGAAGGTCATTGGTGAATTCAAGACTATGGATGAATTGCAGCAACTTTATCTCGGAGCTGGTCCTGTGGCTAAGAAGCGTCGCATAAAAGGTGTAGTCACAGATACCCACACTTCAAAGCATGGCATAGATAATGATGATTCTGAATTTAAGATTGTTGGAAATGATAGTAATGAAGGAGAACGAGAGCATATAAACATGAAATCGAAAAATGCCAGTGCTGAACCCAGTAATAAGATGTCAAAATTTGGAAAGAAGAAATGTAGGATGGGTGGGGCGAGTGCTGAAATCTCTAGTGTGCAGGACGCTCAATGTGGGAATAGGAACAATGATGCACTTGACGAAACATCGCAGTGTGGGACTATTGCGAATAAAGTGAAAAAACCGGATAGCTGTCAGGGTTCCACCGGGTTTAATCATAGGGATGTTGCAATTCCGGAGAACTCCACAGAACATAGACCAATAATAAAGGCGGCTTTAGCAGAAGCGTTAGAGGACCAATCTTTGAGAACTAATACTGCCCATCAGAAAAGGAAAAAGAAGAAGGTAAAGGACTCATCCACGTGCCATGATGGAGTTGAAATGAAGATCTTTGACAAGTTGACTGATGTTGACACTACTATTCAATCTGGACTGAAAGAAACGGTATGCATTCGCAGAAAAGAGCAAGATTGTCTGATTTAAACGTTCACTTTTACAATAGAACAAGTGTAAACAGGTCTCAATGCTTATCAAAAGGAGAAATGAACAACGACAAAAAGATAAGTTTAAAAATGGTGAACTTTGTAATTGAAAATGGTTAGCAATTGAAAATTTATAACCTGTCTTATTTATAATACTACCAAGTATAAGAGTATACACACTGCAGTTCACAAATAGTTATACTTACCTCTAAGTAATGAAAGAAGAAACCTTTAAAGTAGTACTTCCGCTACTTTTTACTGATGTTCATAAGTAGGTTAACTTGATTTTTCTTAAAAGAGCAGTTACTTTTGAATGATATTTGTAAGCTAGACCATATTTTCTTGACCAAAAGCATGAAAGGTGATCCAAGTCGAAAAAACGACTCAGTAGAGAGACTTGCTACTAATTCAAATGCAAAGTCATGCTCCTTAAATGATTAAATTTACTGCAGTATCACCTTATGCGTTAAATGACCACAATAGCTGGAAATTCAGAAACTATTATTTTAAGACTTAGAATATATAGTACATTGAACCAAAAAAATCACAATACTGTCCAGATAGCAATAGCTACTCATTCCGTCTTGGTAACAAGTTGGATTTATAATGTCCATGACACAGTATTTTGTGCACTCCTGCTCTTTATCCCCCCTTCTAATTGTTAAATTCTGTTCTTTTCCTTCGATAAATAGATCTACCTACAAATTTTTTCAGATTCTATGTACTGCACTTCTGACCATTTATCTTATAATTAACTATCTGATATTTTATGGTTGCGATATATTATTCTATTTAACTTCTTATATTATGCTTCATTTTTTATATATAAGTGTTAAGGTATCTTTTTCCCCTTTCAGGTATGAGAATGATCAAAGGTGCCCTAAAAATTATAGGTGAAGCAATATGTTTTGTTGTTACAGGAGACGACATGTCACTTTTGCTGGAGTTTCTTGTCCATACAAAATAGTGAAATATTGGCCTAGTTGAGAAACTAGAAACTGGTTGGAAAAAAAATCAGTTTCATGAATCTGATTCAAAATATCAAAATCATTTTGTATGTAGTAACCAACATCACAAAGTACATCTTACCTTGAAAAGTGCTTCTTAGAACAAGGATTAAAGATCAATACAAAAAAAAGAACAAAATGTGTTAATTAAAACCCACCACTTGTACCATTGCATGTTGTATGTCCCGTTTGTTTCCTACCCAAAATGGATTTTCAGACAAATAATCCACAAGTTTTGGATAGCTCCTTCATATCATAAACACGCAATAGCAACTTACACAAGTTTGTACAAGAACTATCCTCCAAGTTGATAGACAAAACCATGGCCGCGGGCTGTGTGCATATGACCAAGTACCGATTTTCATCTCCACATATAAGAGAGAGAAAATTAATATATCTGATACTTGCAGCACCAAGAGGAATAGTCTTTTTCAAATTCAAAATTATCTAAGCGATAACCCCTTTTTGAGCGAATGTAATATAGACGGTCTTTCAAGCTTCCAAAATACATAGCTTCCCTTCTTTTAGACGGCATTGGATACGGATGAAGGCTCTCTGTATCAAGATCAAAATAGATAGAAGTCTCAGATTTATATGCTGGCCAAAATATTGCTCTATTTACGAAAACCTCATTGTTAAAGTCCACGCTTCTTACAGCTGATTTTGAAATTTGACATGTCAAATTCCTCCACAAATTAGTCTCTGAAGAATATATTCCCATCTCAAAATTCTCGTCAGAAGAGCTAAGACGACGATCAGAACTTACATGAATAACTTTAAAAAGAGACGATACAGAATAATCGAAAGCCAAAGTCGTGTAGAAAATCAGCAGCATCACCATATCTATGTTCAGTATGTATATATGTTATTTCAGGAAGAGAAATAAATTGCTATGTAGTCGGATTACAGACATAGTATTTGCATATAGGGTTTATAGTTCTTTCCTTTTTCACGGTGCGACAAACAAGTAAACCACCACAAGAATTCAAAATCACAACACCTTCGCCATAAGGATTTTGCAAACCTTTGAGAGAAGCGTCAGAGTGGATTAATCCATTATCAGTAAAAGAAATATAGAAGTACTTAAAACTCTTGTTGTCTTTGCGCCAAAATCTATTGACAAAAAGGCTACCCAAAGAAGGAGTTTTAAGCCTCCAAAAGGAAACAAATTTAGGATCAGAGATTAGAGATTGCCATCTTTTACAAACAAGTTTGCATTTGAACAGTGGCTTTGGTGAGAGGAGGAGTAAAATAGTTGTAAGAATATCATTGTTGCCTTCAACTGCTTCTGCAGAAGCAAAATAAACAATTTTTTCACCACTAGTTTTTAGTTTTGGTAGAGCTTTTTATTCGTTTGTTTGTAAGCATAATGAAAGATTTTGTTTAGTTCCAATAAGGTTAATGACTATTTATAATTGGATAATAAAGGAAGAGGTAACAATAATTGTCTTTGATTAATGAACCAAGAAAACTGCAACGATCGACTAGAATTAAATGCGAGGAGACCAAAGGTTTCTTTTCCTCTCTTCCTTCTTATGGCTATTTAATTTATTGGCAAAACATATATTTGAAAACAATAAAAGTTACCATCAACCTTTTCGTTTACAGTGAGATTAAATGGAGTTTTGTTAAATAGATTTCTCATTTAACAAACTTATACTAGTACCAATTATTCGACATTTTGTTGATTCACATATTTAAAGACGTAATATATTCCATTTGGCAAAAGAACTCTGCTATTTGGTCACACTCATAATGGCCCAACGATGGCCATACCCGTGAAATACCCTTAAAACCCCTGATTTCATATTTGGCTTAACATCCATTATTTTCCTCCAAAATATTTCCCTCCCAAACAAGCTAATGACTATTGATTATCCCAAAACATTGATCCTATAAAACCATCATTCTCTCAAAAGCCTTCGTATGTATACGTATACTGTTATATATATTTTTTAAAAATAAAATTTATACGGATGGGAAGATCAAAAGCCTTCGTATGTATACGTATATTGTATTTCGAAAATTTATACGGTATATAAATTCGAGTAACCTTGTTATACCATACACATATGATAAGAGAGCTTTCATTAAACACATAATTCACCATCCTTTCCTTAACCTAAATATGAATGCTAATCAAGAAACTAGTTTGAAGCCATTAAACCAGAATAACAGCCTAGAAACTAGGTCAGAGCAACTAAGGAATGCATTATACATATCTTTAGGGTTGAATTCGGGTTTGATGAATGAAGATGAGTGGGTCAACATTGATTCAAACGATCATGTTGACGATGCTGCTGCTGCTGATGATGATGATGATGACGACGACCATTATTTAGAGGAAGAGGGAGAAGGTGGAAAGGACAGGGAAATGTCTAATGAGTTAAATGAAGAAGATCTAATAATAGGTCCAATTACTGGAATGCGGTTCAGTAATAAGGATGTTATATTTGCTTTTTACAAAGAACATGCAAGATTATAAAGGTTTTGCATTGTCAAAAGAACATCAAACAAAAAAGGTGGTGATATTGTAAGGTATGTGCAATATGGTTGTGATAGGTCTAGGAAACTAAGGAATAAGCATGTTACCAAGAGGAGGAGTTGGCATGCTAGAATAAATGGAATTTTGAAGGAGAATGGTTTATGGCGTGTTTCAAAGGTGGTTAAAAATATAATCATTAATTGGAACCAGCACTATCGCGATTGATGGCTGGACACAGATCGCTTAGTAATTCTATTAAGAGAACTCTTATAGCCAAAGATATTGCTGGCTTAAGACCCTCAAAAAATATAAGAGTCGCTGACGTACTTGCTGGAGGCCTCAAAAATTTGGGTTGTACACCAAAGGACCGTAGAAATTATATTTTAAAGAGGGGAAAGCTTCAATTGCAAGAAGGGGACGCATAATCATTACTCAAGTTCTTCACACTCTTAAAAATGGGTTCATTCACACTCTAAGGTTGCATATGAGGAGTTCTATGATGTAATATGCCTTGATACCACATACCTTGTGAATCGATACAATATTCCATTTGCTTCATTTGTTGGTGTCCAATCAGCATAGGCAATCCATACTTTTGGGATGCGCTCATATGTCTAATGAGGATATAACAAGTTACAAAGTGGTACTCTCTATATGGCTTGGGGCTCTTAACAATGTTCATCCATTAGATATCATGACTGACCAATATGATAGTATTAAGGCTGCCATCAATGCATTGATGCCAAATACGGTACATAGATATTGTATATGGCACATATTCGCAAAGTTGCCTATGAAGTTAAGCGGAGTTCTTGATGGTAAGATTGCAAAGATAGAATTTAAGGCTTTAGTCCTTGATAGAATTAACGTTATTGAGTTTGAGAGAAGATGGACCGATTATATTGCAAAATATAACTTAGATGGAAGGGATTGGTTTTATAAGCTTTATTTAGAGAAGGAAAAATAGGTTCCTGTATACCTAAATGACCACTTTTGAGCTATGATGTTGTCCACACAAAGGAGTGAAGGAACGCATGCTTTTTTTAATGGATTTATCACCCGCCAAATCACTTTGAAGATATTTGTTCAGCAATATGAGTTAGCCATAAGAGTTAATTTCGAGAAAGAATTGGAAGCTGAATATAGCTCAATGTGCTTTGAACCAAAATGTTTGTCTGAATTCGCATGGGAGGAAAAACTTCAAGCATGTTATACTCGTGAAGTGTTTGAATTTTTTCAAATACAGTTAAGGAAACTGTACCATTGTGAAATCAACACCCCTGAAGATCATCAAGCAAACCCTGGAGTGGAGAAATACATTATAACAGATTATTCGCTCAGGAGTTTTAACACTAGAGATCCATTTGTCTTCATGGTTGAATATATACCTATTGGCGAATATCTAAGTTTCATCTGCAAGTGGTTTGAAACAAGAGGTATTATATGCTGCCATATACTTAAGGTGTTGTCTCATAAGAGGATTGAAAACATTAATGAGAGGTATATATTGAAAAGGTGGAGAAGAGATGTTGTTCGTCCGCACTTGAAACGTTTCTTTCTAGGAGGTTACCCGCATATGACTTCTGAATACATGATGTACAGAGAACTATTAAAGCATTTTGAACTGGTTTGTGATATTGCATTGGACACTGAAGTGATGAGGCAATATATTAAGTATGATTTGAATAGATTGGAGCATGACCTTTTGAATTGGGATGATATGATAGTTCCAAATTGGGAATTGGAAGATATACATGATGGTGTGGATGAGGGTGGGGGTGGGGATGGGGGTGAGGGTAAGGGTGATGGTGAAGTAAGAAATATAAGAGATCCTAGATACGTAGCTTCTCGTGTATGTCCAAGGTTGAATAAATATAGAGGGCAAATCGATTCATACTTTAGAAGTTCACAAACGGGTGGTGGAAGTGGAGTTAGAGGTAATATGAGGGGTAGAGGTGGTGGTAGAAGTGGTGGTAGAGGTCGTGGTAGAGGCCGTGGTAGAGGTGGTGGTAGAAGTGGTGGAACTCCTCGGCTAGCGGAAAGAATTGAGGTAAAGTATAACAAATTTGATTAATTATTTTTTTAACGTAAATACATTGCTTATACTTATTAGCCTTCTTTACTCTAACTACAGTAAGATATGCAACAGTACCATCACAAAGTAGCTTGCCTGATCTAAACAATGAAGCAAACTGGGAAGTGGAAGACTTTATTTTGTAATGAGTTTAAACGTGTGGTATTATAATTATCATTGTTAAATGCTTCATTTTATTGTTACTTGCTTTGAATTTGGAGGACTAGACTAACCAAATGTGACTAGTTGCAACTAGTACAGAAATANCGATTCATGGTTTTAGCATTGCTTGAAGTGATTTGAGGTCTTGACTAAGTTCTTATGATATTTTAGGACTTGTTTGTATATTTGGTTGAAGTCTCGGGGGCCTCGTTTGAGTTTCGAGTGGTTAACAGATCAATATTTGGACTTGGGGATGTGGTGAAATTTTCTGGTGTCTGTATCTGGTTTCCTTGTACGCGATCGCATGAAAGGGTTCGCTATCGCGTAGGCCAATTGGGACAGATGGGGAAATTGTTCTATGTTATCACCAATGGAGGCACCCGATCGCGAAAGCCGGAGAATCTGGGCATCGCGAACGCGTGATGAGGGCCACGTTCGCACAAGAGA